CAGGAGGGGAACATAGAAAAAAGGAGTAACCCCCCCTAAAAGTATGAGTAGAAATTTAAAAAGAAGAAATTACAGAAATAATATAGCAAGTTAAAAAAAATTTCTGCCACAAATGTATTATGACCTGGGTCTAATCATGATGCGACATTAAATCTAAATTGAGGAACATTCTACAAAATAACTGGTCTGTAACTCTTTTAAAAAAATATCAATGTTATGAAAGACAAAGGTTGAAGAACTGTTCCAGACTAAAGGAGACCACAGAGACATGAAAAGAAATTCAGTGGAGGATCTGAGATTCCCTTTAGTGAGAAAGGATATTTTGGGGACAGCTAGCGAGATCTGTGACTTAGTGGCATTGTATCCATGCTCACTTCCTGATTCTGATCATGATGCTGGGGTTGTGTGATAGAATGCCCTTGTTTCTGAGAAGTTCACATTGAGGTATTTACACACACACACACACACACACACACACACACACACACACGGAGCAGAAAGAGAAGGATAAAGTAAATTCGATACATAAGTGAACCAAAGATGACTTATGTGTAGTGACCCCCTAGGCGGTCCTTCACACGAGGCTGAGACCCGTTAGCTCAAAAGCCCACCAGCACTAAACTCCAAGTTCAAAACATCCAATTGTTTTAATCATAGCCCAGATACAGGCAGATTTTTGGTTATTTAAAGCTCTCAGTCTTTGTGTACCCCAAGAAACTGCACCCAACATCTGCCTGCCATAAATAAGACCCCAATAGCTCTGACCCAGAGATACTTAGGAGTTGCCTTGCCCGCTCCCATTTTTGGATAGTAGCCCCCTTGCCACAGCCCCACCTGCGCAAAACCTCATCCAGCTAACACTTGCAGTGGTCCTGCCACCTCATGAAGCAATCTTCTTCATCAGTGCTGAAATCCCTCCAACGCCCTGCGCAAATGTGGTAAAATGTTAGTATTTGGGGGATCTGGATGAAGAATATTCAGGAATTCTTTGTAATATTCTTGGGACTTTAAGTCTAAAGTTGTGCACAAATTAAAAAAAAACCAAAAAAAAACCCCTAAAATCAGTTCTTTGAAAGGATTTGTTAAAACGAACAAAATAATTTGTTTGTATTTAAAACTAATAAAATAGACAAACTTTGAGCCTGACTGATGAAGGGAAGGCAGAAATAAACCGTTCTAGACGTGGAAAGGGAGATAATTTCAGATATAGTTTTTTTAAATTATAAGAGATTACTATAAATTATTGCTATAAATTTGAAATTAAATGGAACAATTTTCTAGAAAAATATAAATTACTAAACTTGACTGATAAACAGAAAACCCAAATAAGCCACTTAGACATGTTACAAAAATCTCATAGAATTTCATAAAATTCCTTAAAAACACGTGGGCCTGGTGTTTCTTTGATGGGAATATTTTTGAGCATGGATTCATTTCATTTAATCTTTAGTGGTTTAGGTATTTTTTATATTTTTTATTACTTTATAATTTTATTGCTTTTTGTTATCAGAGAGTGCGGTCTATGCCACATATATTTTTTTTCTTTTGGTATTGAGGGGTTTTTTTTTAGCTTGTCAGTTTTTATAAATATTCCAGATGTGCTTAAGGAGAATGTATTCTCCAATTATTGAGTGCATTCTTCTGTCTGTATCCAATAGATCAAACTTTTAAGTTGTTATTCATATCTTGTCTATCCTTACTATTTTTTTGTATTCTAGACCTTAGTTTCTAAAAAATGTATATTAAAATCTTTTACTACTAGGGAGGATTCATCAGTTTCTCCTCATTGTGCCTTTTTTTGTTTTGTATACATTGTGGCGCATGCAGATCTAAGATGGAGTCAGCATCTGTTCATGGCTTTGTCTCTTCGCAATGGGTCATATTTTCTTGCTCTTTGCACACCTTTTTTTTTTTTTCTTGAAGGCTAGACACTGTGCGTAGAACAGTGGAGACTAGGACAGGGTTGGCTGCCGTTCTCCCAGCAGCTTAAGGCTTTGGTTCCTCAGAAGAGAAAACTCTGGATAGGGCTTCATGTGTTTCCCTCCATGGCAGCCACACCCTCCTCTAGACCTTCACTCCGGGCAGTCTCTCTGGTCCCCTGTTCAGCCCTGATCTTTCTTGTGAGCACCCAGGGAAGGCCTGTACTCATTTTCTATTGCTATGTAAGAGATGGCCACAAATCCAGTGATTGAAAACCACACCCATTTGCCAGTTCACAGTTCTGCAGGTCAGAAGTCAGGGCAGGCTTGGCTAGGTTCTATGCTCAGAGTGTTACCAGGCCACAATCAAGGTGTTGGATGAGCTGGGCTCTTTTCCAAGGCTCCAGGGAAGACTCTGTTTCCAGGTGTGTTCGGACGGTTGGCAGAATGCGGTTTCAGGCCTCAGGTTCCTGATTCCTTGCTGGCGGTCAGTGTGGGGGGGCTCTCTCAGCTTCTTAAGGCCACCTGCTTTCCTTCTCATGGGGTCCTTGTCTTTTCGAAGCCCAAAACAGAGCATTGAGCCCATCTCAGGTTTCCAGTCTCTCTGACTTTCCCTTCTACCACCAGTGAGTTTCCGACTCAGAGGTAAAGTACCTGCTGATGTTTCCGTGGAAGCCTCACCCTGTCGTTTTATTTTCAGGTTTTCCTAGCATCTTTGCAAAAGCTTAGGATCAACTTTGTAGCTAAGGCGGCTCCCTCCTCTCTGCATAGCCAAGCTTGTTTCTACCCCTCAGAGAGTCTCAGAGGCTGAAGCTGAGCCTCCAGCTGAAGGTAAGTTCTCAGCAGGACAGCAGAGCTTTGGCAACTAAGTGAATTTGCCCAAGTTTTCAAGACCCAGGCATACCAGGAATAAAATAATTCTTGTTAAGGCTGCACCCTGGGGAGCAAGAATCTACTTTGGAAAGCAAGATGCCTGTTCTGAGTCCTGTTTATGTAGCTTAAGGCCAAAGCTGGAGAGTAACCCGGAGGGTGGCAACAGCTCCTGGGATCAGAGTACCTCAAACAGCCCCTGGCCCGCTTGCTGGTGGAGCAACTTAGGGTGATACCACATCAAGGGTTCATCTGGGATTTAGTTTAGTGGAAAGTTTGCTAGGAAGAGACAGGGCATCTTGCCTTAGGGTACACCAGGGCGTGGGCTAGGAGCCAGAGGATCTCCCTGACACTCAGAGGAAACCCCCACCCAGTCTCTAAACTCATGTACAGTTACTTTCACCCTCTCCTGTCTGTGTAGCTAGAGGACTAGCTCTGTGCATGCCACGGCTACCTCCATACTCGGTTTCTAGCAAGATGTTAACCCCCTTATACTATAGTCAAGGTGTAGAAGTTGCTTTGTTAACCTAAGAGTTTTCTGTTTTTCCTTCTCATGTTAAAGACTAAAGAAAATGGGCGTGAGAGAGGTGTTCAGAGCCACCCAATTCATTAGAGGCCGAGCCAGCACTAGTGCCCAGGGCTCCTGTCCACCAGGCAGGGGCTGCTTCCGCTGTTCCACAATTCAGCGCTAAAACTTGCCCCTTCCCACCTTCTGCTCCTTCAGACCTCCTCATGGATTTCCTTCCTCCAGGGGAAGGACTTTGATAGGAGCTCATGGGGAGAAAACACAGTAAGATGATGTATGTATGTTTTTATGAAATATTTAAATATAAACGATGAGCACGTGTTTATTTAAAAAAATTAGAAAATACCACTGTGTTAAGAAAAAAAAAACCTTACTGTGCAAAGATAACCATTGTTAACATTATTAACATGTATTAAACCTCCAGAATTTTTTCTTTATAGATATATGCTTACGAAAACCCATTAAATGTGCTGCAGTCAATGTATCCAAACGGGAAATGGAGTCAAGCGTCTCCAGCTACTGTTTTAGACCCACACTGTTGGGCCTACCTTCCTGTATGTAGTTTCCTTGGGCTGCCATAACAAAGTACCACACACTGGGGGCTTAAACAGCATAAATTTATTGTCCCACAGTGCTGGAGGCTGAAAGTCCAATATTAGGATATTGGTAGAGTTGGTTCCTTCTGAGGCCATGAGGGAGAATCTGCTCCAGGCCTGGCCCCTCGCTTCTGGTGGCTGCTGGTAGGCTCTGGTGTGCCTTGGCTTGTAGATGCATCACCTTGGCTTCTGCCTCCCTCCTCACCTAGCGTTCTCCCTGTGTGTGTCTGTGTCTAAATTTGCCTTTCTGATAAGGGCACTGCCACATTGCATTAGGGCCCACCCTAATGACCTCACTATAACTGCGTCACCTCTGTGAAGACCCTGTCTCCAAAGTCACATTCTGAGGTCCTGGGGGTTAGGACTCTGCATGTCTTTTTTTGGTGGGGGACGGACACAACTGAACCCATAACACTTCTCCAGCAGAATGGTATCCAGGGAGACCCCACAGCTGCTCGGTCACTTCAGGTTATGATGAAGGGTTGCCTCACCTTGGTTGCTGAAAGTTTCCACGAACATTTGCTCATGTCCAATTTCAAGCTTCTCTCCTCCTCCCTGCAAGAGCTGTGGGCCTGGGACCTCCCCAGGGGAAGGACCTGCAGTCTGTTCTTTCGCCACCTGTGCCATCCCCGCCTCTCCTCGGCCTTTAACTCTTCCTTCTTTTCATAGGCTTTCTCCTCCAGGCTCAGGCTGCGAGGAAGGGGAAATGGAGGAAAGACGCACAGATTTTTCCTTGCTTGGTGTTGTAGCTCCCCCCTGCCTGTCACTGGCCTGGCCACCCTCACTTATGCGGGAGGCCACGTGGTGGCTCTCTGTCGGGTGCACAGCCTGTGACACCAGCGGGGGACTCTCCAGCAGGCTCTGTGGGCCCCCACCCCCCAGTTGCTGCCTCAGTGGTGCCTGCCCCT